TGCGTCGATTGCGTTCCATTAGCTGGACAATCATTGTGCAGGGCACAGCTGAGTGTGGCCTTGTTACACACGTCACATCGCGGTTTTAGATCGGCTGGTCCTTTGGTCACGAGTTTGGTGAGAAGGTCTGGGGTCTGACGCCGCGGGCTTGACGTAGTATTGTTGGTCGCGGTCGTGCGATTGTCGCATGTTGAGGGTGGCGATCGGGTGACCGTGACAGTGATAACAAATGATCAAAGCTGGAGACAGACATCTGGGATATTGGGATACCAAAGACCTGAACTTCACAGAGCTGCAGATATTGGCTTTTGTTTGGTAAGATGATGTTCACGTATTGGCCGAGCATTCCGTCACACTGGAAAGTTTTGGTGGAGCCACTTGACATGCCACTTATCTCTACACACCTACAGTTGCAAGAAAAAGTATGTGAACCCCTTGGGATTACGTGGAGTTTTGCATGAATTGGGCATAAAATGTGCTCTGAACACCATCTAAGTCACAATAGAAGAACACAGTCTGCTGAACATAATACTACACAAACATTAATTAGGACAAATAAATTCTTTAAAAATCATACAATGTGATTTCCTGAATTTTTTTTTTTAAATTCTGTCTCAGAGTGGGAATGCACCTACAATGTGAATTTCAGACCCCTCCATGATTTCTAAGTGGGAGAACTTGCAAAATCGCAGTTCATCAACCATAGTACTCCATGTATTCCCATACACATTGCTCCATCCAGATGCACATATATAAAGGATAAGAATAGTGTAATACCGCCAAGATAACTGAATCAATAAGCTTTAATAAAACTGCTCACATTATTACAGCCTTTAAAACCGCTTAGTATAGATGATATAACCTTTCTGCCATCCAGGAAATGTCCAGGCTCTTTCAGGTGCTCCTTTCCACTTTCCAAAATGGCCGCTGGTGTACTTCCATTTCCCGTACACGTCTGACATCACTTCCCTTGACGCATTTCGTCATCGACTTAATCATAAGGGATACCCCCAGTTTTCCTAAAGCTTATTGATTCAGTTATCTTGGCGGTATTACACTATTCTTATCCTTCATATATGTGCATCTGGATGGAGCAATGTGTATGGGAACACATGGAGTACTATGGTTGATGAATCCAGGTATTGCCGTGGAGGTTGGTTAGGCCTTGTGGAGATCTACAGGAGGGACATTTTTTCACCATTTATTGGATAACATTAAAGGCGTGATTATTTTGGATTGTTGGTAAGGGTACCTACCCCTTATTCCAATTAGAAGTGCACACTGTGTTTGCTTGCTTTTGGGCACTGAAGAGTGATTCACATACACAGAGTGTGTTCACTGTTTGTTTCACATTTTTTCACTCATTTTTCACTGGAAAGTTTTTTACTTGTGGGATACTCACCGATACTCACCGTGAGTGATGTCACTTATTAATGTTTAAGTTGTAAAAAGATAATGCACTATGTGTTATTTCTTTTTTGAGGTAACACTCATCGTGGAAACCGTTTGGAGGATATAATTTTCTTTGGGCACATTTGTTTCATTTTGATTACACAGGAAGGACATATTTGTGTTTTATATTTTGGACTTTTTTTGGGATTTGATTTCACTTGAACTGTGGCTGTAGGGGAGATTTTTCAACTATATTGTGGCATATTCATTGTTATATTATTTTATTGTTGATTGTTAACATATGTGGTGTGATCATTTGAGGACATAGCGGTAGCATATTTGGGGATCGGGAATGATTTTTTTCTCCTGCTGGAGCAGTATGGATCATGCTTTGCTGGGTTTTTTTTTTCTTTTGCCTTCCTCTGGATCAACTGTGGGTATAGGATTATAACTTTTTTTATGGTTGAATTAGATGGACTTTTGTCTTTTTTTAGCCAGACTAACTATGTAACTATATGTAACTATTTTTGAAGGTGGTGATAGTGTGTAAACGAAGATAAAGTACTTTCTTGTAAATAGAGCTAGTCTCGAAACTTCTTGATAATACCTCATATTTTTTTCTCCTTGGTTCTTATGGGCCTGGAACAAGCAGAGAGGAATTTAAATTTTTCCTCTGATATTACTTGCTGCATTGTTGTATATTAAAATTCTATCTATCTATCTACCTATCCATCTTGCCTATCTATGCTTAGGGCTCCACTTCTAGGAGGCTGCTAAGCCCAAGGCAAACACATGGCCATTTCCTGGTCACCCCAATTTCTCTAGAAATACTTGTGTAATTCAATGTGTGGAAGTGTTTGCAGAGGCCTGGGAGACACCCAGGCTGCTATCATAAGATTTTACTTTTGTTTGAACTTTTAAATCCCTTTTTAAGTACTTCCCTGGATATGTTTAACACCACAAGCAGGTCCCTGTTATGTAATCTATATAACGTCTTTGGTGTATAAAATATAACAGGAGGTTCAGTTGCTGGTAGGATCTCCAGGTATGAGACTTTGAAACCAATTCCCAAAAATTTGCTAAAATAAACCTGTTTGCGGTGAGGTGTGATGCCCAAAAATACTGAGCTATAGACTTGAGGTATAAATACACTTTAAATGAATTGACCCAGAGGGCATGGCAAATAAACTGCCATCAGAGATACTAATTTATTGTTGTATTTGCTGATGATGATGAAGATGGTGATAACAAATGATCAAAGCTGGAGACAGACATCTGGGATATTGGGATACCAAAGACCTGAACTTCACAGAGCTGCAGATATTGGCTTTTGTTTGGTAAGATGATGTTCACGTATTGGCCGAGCATTCCGTCACACTGGAAAGTTTTGGTGGAGCCACTTGACATGCCACTTATCTCTACACACCTACAGTTGCAATAAAAAGTATGTGAACCCCTTTGGATTACGTGGAGTTTTGCATGAATTGGGCATAAAATGTGCTCTGAACACCATCCAAGTCACAACAATAGAAGAACACAGTCTGCTGAACATAATACTACACAAACATTAATTAGGGCAAATAAATTCTTTAAAAATCATACAATGTGATTTCCTGAATTTTTTTTTTAAATTCTGTCTCAGAGTGGGAATGCACCTACAATGTGAATTTCAGACCCCTCCATGATTTCTAAGTGGGAGAACTTGCAAAATCACAGTTCATCAACCATAGTACGCCATGTATTCCCATACACATTGCTCCATCCAGATGCACATATATGAAGGATAAGAATAGTGTAATACCGCCAAGATAACTGAATCAATAAGATTTAATAAAACTGCTCACATTATTACAGCCTTTAAAACCGCTTAGTATAGATGATATAACCTTTCTACCATCCAGGAAATGTCCAGGCTCTTTCAGGCGCTCCTTTCCACTTTCCAAAATGGCCACTGGTGTACTTCCATTTCCCGTACACATCTGACATCACTTCCCTTGACGCATTTCATCATCGACTTAATCATAAGGGATACCCCCAGTTTTCCTAAAGCTTATTGATTCAGTTATCTTGGCGGTATTACACTATTCTTATCCTTCATATATGTGCATCTGAATGGAGCAAGGTGTATGGGAACACATGGAGTACTATGGTTGATGAATCCAGGTATTGCCGTGGAGGTTGGTTAGGCCTAGTGGAGATCTACAGGAGGGACATTTTTTCACCATTTATTGGATAACATTAAAGGCGTGATTATTTTGGATTGTTGGTAAGGGTACCTACCCCTTATTCCAATTAGAAGTGCACACTGTGTTTGCTTGCTTTTGGGCACTGAAGAGTGATTCACATACACAGAGTGTGTTCACTGTTTGTTTCACATTTTTTCACTCATTTTTCACTGGAAAGTTTTACTTGTGGGATACTCACTGGAGTGATGTCACTTATTAATGTTTAAGTTGTAAAAAGATAATGCACTATGTGTTATTTCTTTTTTTGAGGTAACACTCATCGTGGAAACCATTTGGAGGATATAATTTTCTTTGGGCACATTTGTTTCATTTTGATTACACAGGAGGGACATATTTGTGTTTTATATTTTGGACTTTTTTTGGGATTTGATTTCACTTGAACTGTGGCTGTAGGGGAGATTTTTCAACTATGTTGTGGCATATTCATTGTTATATTATTTTATTGTTGATTATTAACATATGTGGTGTGATCATTTGAGGACATAGCGGTAGCATATTTGGGGATCAGGAATGATTTTTTTCTCCTGCTGGAGCAGTATGGATCATGCTTTGCTGGGTTTTTTTTTTTTTTTGCCTTCCTCTGGATCAACTGTGGGTATAGGATTATAACTTTTTTTATGGTTGAATTAGATGGACTTTTGTCTTTTTTCAGCCAGTCTAACTATGTAGCTATATGTAACTATTTTGAAGGTGGTGATAGTGTGTAAACGAAGATAAAGTACTTTCTTGTAAACAGAGCTAGTCTCGAAACTTCTTGATAATACCTCATATTTTTTTCTCCTTGGTTCTTATGGGCCTGGAACAAGCAGAGAGGAATTTTAATTTTTCCTCTGATATTACTTGCTGCATTGTTGTATATTAAACTTCTATCTATCTATCTACCTATCCATCTTGCCTATCTATGCTTAGGGCTCCACTTCTAGGAGGCTGCTAAGCCCAAGGCAAACACATGGCCATTTCCTGGTCATCCCAATTTCTCTAGAAATACTTGTTGTGTAATTCAATGTGTGGAAGTGTTTGCAGAGGCCTGGGAGACACCCAGGCTGCTATCATAAGATTTTACTTTTGTTTGAACTTTTAAATCCCTTCTTAAGTACTTCCCTGGATATGTTTAACACCACAAGCAGGTCCCTGTTATGTAATCTATATAATGTCTTTGGTGTATAAAATATAACAGGAGGTTCAGTTGCTGGTAGGATCTCCAGGTATGAGACTTTGAAACCAATTCTCAAAAATTTGCTAAAATAAACCTGTTTGCGGTGAGGTGTGATGCCCAAAATACTGAGCTATAGACTTGAGGTATAAATACACTTTAAATGAATTGACCCAGAGGGCATGGCAAATAAACTGCCATCAGAGATACTAATTTATTGTTGTATTTGCTGATGATGATGAAGATGGTGATAACAAATGATCAAAGCTGGAGACAGACATCTGGGATATTGGGATACCAAAGACCTGAACTTCACAGAGCTGCAGATATTGGCTTTTGTTTGGTAAGATGATGTTCACGTATTGGCCGAGCATTCCGTCACACTGGAAGGTTTTGGTGGAGCCACTTGACATGCCACTTATCTCTACACACCTAAAATATACAAATGGAATGACAGGAATATAAATATTTTAACATTAACAATTATACACACTACCAAACTTTTAAACATATAAAATAAAAAGCAGATGTTAACCCAATCACTTTAATCTCAGGAAAACTTTATCATGTTATTTCAATAGGTGCCAATAGTGTGCCATGCCTGTGCCATGTATGTTGGCTCCTCCCCCCCATCAGGGGCACATGAGAGGGTGACAATGCAAGGGTACAATTAGAAGACAATTGTCATCTCATTACAGAAAGTGCTGAACAAGGACCTTTATGGCAGGGTTACCAGGTATTCTAAACTACCTCAATACCAGTATGTTACACCACCATTCTTTGTAGGCCTTTTTTCAATTTCACTACTGCAATAGTTTTACTGACAATAACTCAGTCAAGGAACACTGTAGCCAAGATACATTTAAAGTGGTTGTAAACCTTTACATATACCCAGTGAAACAAATCTTCCTACATAAGTTGTACCTATTTATCTGCAGTATTCTCTTCTCTTCGTCAGTTCAAAGTGCAGAATTTGTACAACTTGGTTGAGATTTCAGAAAAAAGGGGACAGAGAGCTGAAATTACACTCTGCAGAGCTCAGTGAGAAGAGCTGATTGGTGGGAAGAGACACACACACCCCTTCACACAACACACAGGAACACAGCTGAGGCTGTCAGTCACAGGTGTGTGTGCCGGAGCTCCCTCTCCCATCACCTTTTTACCTCTTGGTGTTAGGAAAACTTGTCAAAAGTGATTCATATTGATAGCAGAGGAATGAGGCAGCAGACAGAAATGACACTTGGTGCTCTAGATTGAGACAAGTACACACTATAGAGGAATATACTTTGTTCATATTTCATGTCTGAGGTTTATAACCACTTTAACTAAACCCCAAACCCTGTGAAAGGGCCTTCTAAGCATTTATTCCAGGCTTGGGTCCTGGAAGGCAGGTATGCATCCCTTTTTTTTTGGAGTTGTTGTCCCTTTAAGGGGGATGACAAGAAACAGAAAGAGTACCTAGGGATTCTCACCCATGCAGGGTGAAGGATTCTGGGGTGATCCAGTAGAAATGGGAAAACTGATTTACAGCCTTCACAGGATTGTTAAGTCCTGGTATGATGGAACCCGGAATCTGGAGACTCACAGAGATTTTAGGTGGGAAAGAGCATCCAATCCTGCCTACAGGGATTTTCATCCTGAAAGGGTTGACCCATCTACAAAAATGGGCTGAAAGGGGAAGAAAGCATTCAGCAGGTGTCTGTGAGATGTCCAGTAGAGTAGAGCACTGTTTTGTGAGGATTCTAGACTGTCTTGTTACTGAGACACTGCTGATTAGCTCTGGCGACATTACTGGAACCCCGAAACATGCGGGAACTTTAAAAACCCTGTGGTGGGACACGCTTGTGATGGAGGTGAGCCAAAGTCTTATTTTGTATGCCATGAGAACTGTTTTGTTTAGTTGTTCCATGCTCAAGCAAGGTATTTTTCATTTAACTTTTGCTTTTTCCAACACATCTAGCAGGTGATCCTAGACTTTCTCCAAGTATTGCCAGAAATGTAACTTAAAAAAAAACATATATTTACATCAGATCATTATTTAAAGAATATATTAACATTTGATCACTATTTATAGAATAATTTCACATTGGATTGTTACTTGAAGAACATATTCAGATTGGATCATTATTTAAAGAATATATTTACATTGGATTGTTATTTCCGTTGTTTTGCAGGGAGTTTCCGATGAGTAGTAAACCTCCGTTGATCCATTCCCCACAGCAGTCTCCTCTGTTAGTGATGGTGACTTGGGAAATTCTATGCGGCTCGTGCAAGTCCACCCTCCACCAGGCTGAGGCATCATTGTTTGTGCTGGAGCAGGACCCAAAGCCGAAGTTAGAATTTAGGTTTCCATCTACAGCATTCATAGCCATGGAGAGATACCCGATATCAAAGTTGTAGAAGACAGAAGACTGGGTTGCGCGGCCTTTCAGGGCAACATTTTTATCTGTGGGTATAAGTGATAAAATGTAGAGTTTTTTTTTAGATCAAGATTACAATGTCTCTTTAAAAGTAAGTAAAGGCCAAACACTTGGGGCCCATTCACACAGGCAGAAAAAAATGCTGCCTTTACAATGCATGCAGCAGATAGTTTTGTACACAATGAAATGCAGAACTATAGTAGTCAATGAGCCTGTACATACAGTCTACAAATGAAAATGTATGCTGGGTTTAGTTGAGCACAAAAAAAGGAGGACACAGCTGTAGATTTTTTTTGTGCATCGATTTGGAGATTTTCTGCACATAAGTACATAAACGCATATAAATGTGCAGATGTAGGTATCAGTGAGCATGAGCAAGAGTGCTTTAGGCGAATATTTTATGCAAGATCTTTCTATCATGCAATGTCTTTTTTTCTGCCTGTGTGAATGAGCTCTAGCTATTTCAGACTGTGTGTGTAAAGAAAAAAACACAAAAATAAAGATCAGGGTTTGATCTAGGTCAGTGTAAGGGTTGGAGTACTAGGTCAAGATTAGGGTCAAAGGTCATAGTCAAAGGTCAGGGTAAGTGCGTTTTTAGGTAGGGTGTAAAAAAAAAAAAACAGCAACTGGGAACAATAGCAACAAAGTGGTAGGCCCCATAAAATGACTGAGCCCCGCTCAGTGCATGCTGAAGCGCAGAAGTCACCAGCTGTCTGCAGAGTCAATAGATAAGGACCTCCAAACTTTGTGTGGCCTTCACATTAGCACACAGTGTGTAGAGAGCTTCATGGAATGGGTTTCCATGGCCGAGCAGCTGCATCCAAGCCTTACATCACCAAGTACAATGCAAAGCATTGGATGCAGTGGTGTAAAGCACGCCGCCACTGGTTTCTAGAGCAGTGAAGACATGTTCTATGGAGTAACCAATCACGCTTCTCTGTCTAGCAATCTGATGGATGTGTCTGGGTTTGGTAGTTGCCAGGAGAATGGTACTTGCCTGACTGCATTGTGCCATGTTTAAAGTTTGGTGGAGGGGGGATTATGGTGTGGGGTTGTTTTTCAGGGACTGGGCTTGGCCCCTTAATCCCAGCGAAGGGAATTCTTAAGGCATCAGCATATCAAGACATTTTGGACAATTTCATGTTCCAAACTTTGATGGAACAGTTTGGGGATGGCCCCTTCCTGTTCCAACATGACTGTGCACCAGAGCACAAAGCAAGGTCCATAAAGACATGAAGGAGCCAGTTTTGGGTGGAGGAACTTGACTGGCCTGCACAGAGTCCTGACCTAAACCCCATAGAACACCTTTGGGATGAATTAGAGTGAAGACTGTGAGCCAGGCCTTCTCATCCAACATCAATGCCTGACCTCACAAATGGGCTTCTGGAAGAATGGTCAAGCATTCCCATAGACACACTCCTAAACCTTGTGGATGGCCTTCCCAGAAGAGTTGGAGCTGTTATAGCTGCAAAGGGCGGGCCACCTCAATATTGAACCCTATGGGCTAACACTGGAATGCCATTAAAGTTCATGTGTGTGTAAAGGCAGGCGGCCCAATACTTCTGGCAATATAGTGTACAACAAATAGCACATATATGTGGTATTGCTGCAATTATTGGATTGTTTTGGATTGTTTTTTGGTGGAAGGTTATGGTAATAGCAAGAAATATACAGCTGCATTATTAAAAAAAAAAAGAAAAAAAAAAAGGATTTTTTTTTTTTACTATTTTGTGCCAGTTTTCATTTATTTGTTGTAGAGTAAGCATTAGATAAAATAGTAGGGATGCATTGATACCATATATATATATTTTTTACGCATGCCAATATTTTTACCAATTACCGATACCTGCCGGTAACTGTTTTGTTTACACTTCAGCTGTTAGCAGGGTAACCCCATTGACAGCTGAATGAGCAGTTATTAAGGATGCAGCAGCCCCACTTGATAACCACTGCGGCTCTCACACCAGTTCACCAGAGCAATTTGTACATTTCTGCTATGGACCTGGTTACTCAGCGATAACTTTGTCATTACTTGAGATAACAATGTAATACATATATTGTTTTTTTTTTAACCACTTGCCCTCCTGAGGATTTACCCCCCTTCCTGACCAGGCCTCTTTTTGCTATACAGCACAGCACTATTTCAACATTTTAGTTGTGCAGTCATGCAATGCTGTACCTAAACAAAATTTATGTTCTTTTTTTGCACACAAAGCTTTCTTTTGGTGGTATTTGATCACCTGTGTGCTTTTTATTTTTCATGCTATAAAGCACAAAAAGACCAAAAAATTTTTAAACAATATTTATTACTTTTGGCTATAAAAAAAAATATATAGTAAACTCAAAGCTAGTCATAAATTTAGGCCAAAATGAATTCTGCTACATGTTTTTGGTAAAAAAAAAAATCCCAATAAGTGTATATTGATTGCTTTGTGCAAAAGTTATAGCACCTACAAACTACGGTATAGATACTGCAATTTACGCCATTTATTGCTATACAGCGCAGCACTAGTATAACTGACAAATGTGCGGTCATGCAATATGGTACATAAATGAATTTTGTCTTTGTTTCACACAAATAGAGGTTTATTTTGGTGGTATTTGATCACTTGTGTGTTTTTTATTTTTCACGCTATAAACAAAAAAAGACCAAAAATTTAAAAAAAAAACATTTCTCATTTCTGTCATAACAAAATATCCAAAAAACTCAAATTTCGTCATAAATTTAGGCCAAAATGTATTTTGCTACATGTTTTTGATAAAAAAAATCCCAATAAGTGTTTATTGATTGCTTTGTGTGAAAGTTATAGCATCTACAAACTACGGTATAGATACTGCAATTTACACAGCTTTTACTTTCTGATTGCTCATCACATTTCTTGAGGTGCTAAAATGCCAGGATAGTACAAACACCCCCAATTGACCCCTTTTCAGAAAGTAGACACCATAAGTTATATATTAAATATTGGATGAAGCGCTCTGCTATAATAGTGCTATACACAAAACCAGAATATTATACAAATACTGTATATATAAAACAAAAAATGAAAGTGACTAGTGCTTAATAAATATTATATGTGTAAACACAATAAAAAATATATAATTCATATAAAACCAGTCTGCCCCCAAGTGGCTAAAAACTGGTTAAACATGTGAACACACAACTTAGATAAAAGTGACCAAGTGCTTACTTACATACATAGTGTCTTAATAAATATAATCACAGTGAAGAATCCATTAACACAGAGCACATTAACGTCATTTCCGGGTGGAGCCCGGTGACGTATTTCCGGTGACGCACTTCCGGTTTTCGCCGAACGTGATTTCCTATTACACCCATAGGATATGGGGGAACCTCTTGTTAACTACTAGGAGCATGTGAGTTATTCATCTGGTCTTTATATTTAATAAAAGTTACATATTGCGCTATGGGGATCTCTCTTTTTGCTTAATCTTCCATGGTCCATGGATATATGGCTGAGTCATCTTATATAATAAGATTTTGAGTCGTGGGGACAAGGTATATCCTGGTGTCGGTCTGGAACATCATTTAAATAAATGATCTGTGACCTCTAGGGGTCGAATGTTGGAGGTGAGGAGGCACTCTGGATATTTAGGATTGATGCACTGGAGTGACACCTTGGTCTGAGCACAATTTTGATGAAGAAGCACCTATTTATATCTTAATTTTCACAGAAGAGTGATAGCATGATTTTGCACATGATGATATTAGATGTATATTGATTGCATTTTAACACTTGGCACTTTTTGAGATTATTCACTGTGATTATATTTATTAAGACACTATGTATGTAAGTACTTGGTCACTTTTATCTAAGTTGTGTGTTCACATGTTTAACCAGTTTTTAGCCACTTGGGGGCAGACTGGTTTTATATGAATTATATATTTTTATTGTGTTTACACATATAATATTTATTAAGCACTAGTCACTTTCGTTTTTTGTTTTATATATATTTGTATAATATTCTGGTTTTGTGTATAGCACTATTATAGCAGAGCGCTTCATCCAATATTTAATATATATTTTGTGTGTCCCATGGTATAGGGTGTAGATGATAGCAGCTAGCTATATTTAGGCAGTCTGTGGAGCGCAGGAGGATACTTATACCATAAGTTATATGCTGAGAGGCATATTGAGTCCATGGAAGATTTAATTTTTTCCACAAGTCTTTGAAAAATGACAGAAACATTTTTTTACTCAAAGTTGTCATTTAAATTATATATTGCTCACACAAACCAAGGGTATATGTGGAATTACACTCCAAAATACATTCTGCTACTTCTATTGAGTATGGGGATACCACATGTGTGAGACGTTTTAGGAGCCTAGCCACATACAGGAGCCTGAAATCCAATGACCAGTTTGAAAACCTGAAGGTGCATAACTTCCTCATTTCACTTACTCACTACCTATCACAGTTTCGAAGGCCCTGACATGCCAGGATAGCACCAAATACTAGTACATTGCTAGTCCTTGTTGGGTGTATAGGCTATGTTCTTTTTTTTGTTTTCTGGATACAAAAGGGCCGTGATGATCTCTTCTCTCTTTCTGGAATTTTACAAAGGATCCACTTTGTCCAGTTGCTTTATAAATAACAAGCATTATATATAGCCAATTGAAATAAATAAATAGAAACCTTTTTGCACCAGTGTTGAGCTTTCTGGGAAACTAGGTACAGATTCATCATTTGGTCGTTGAAGTCCACCCCTCCCATGTTAAGGTTATAATCGTGGACGCAGGGGGGTTTCTCAACAACGCCAGATACCGTGTTAATTTGGACTGTCACGTCTGCGTAAATGGAAGACAGGATGAAAACATCCTGTTTGTCCTTCCACTTCACTGCAAGCAATTCATCATTCCTCAAGCAGACTTTATCCCCCTTTCTAAGTTGGGTATTTACAAGCCATTGTGGAAGCCCCAGCGATTAGG